TAACTTTATTTCTGTATTAGACTCTGAATCCCAAAATTAATGTTGTATTACTTGTCCGGGTGAAATAGGAACGTTTGTCATAAAACAAACTGTTTGCATGTATTCACAAATATCATAATCTGAGTCGCAAATTCTGTTTCATGAATATTGCAATACAATTGAAAATCAGTATCCTCACATTACAAACCCTATTCCAAAATGTTTGATTTATGCATAAAAATATCAACGATTGTGATTCTTGAATCTATATTAATTACTCCAACAGAACTATTAAGAGCTCAAAATTAACGTTAATCTGTTATCCCATGTTAGTTGATTTTCCCGACGGATCACTAACACTCAGCAGTCAGTAATCCGTTGGAGCAGAGGAAAGTATCGCTGGTTGCTTGAAAATCCAAATTTCGAGCCCTGGCATGCAAACTAGAAAAGACATAACAGTGTGGTTTAAATGGTATTGTTTAGAAGCAGTCGCATTGTACGCGTGTTTATAAACATTGCAATAATATTCAGATACTACTGGTGTTCGAGGAATGGTATACTTTAAGTTTACAAAGATATTATCAGAACAGGACAAAGTTTTATTGATTGGACAGGAAACAAAATACATATTATAATATATGTTTTATAAACAATGTACTATTGAATAAATTAATGAACACCTGAATGAATACAAACCTATGTTCTTATAGTTCCAAAGAGAGACAGTGACAGAGAACAAGACAGCGATAAACAATAATCTAGGCTGGAATGCATTATACCCACATTTAAATAGCTATTTTAGAGTTGTTAAATTCAAATTTGCAATAACTTATTTAGTTCATGCAATATTGGCGCCTACCAGGATAAAGGATCAATAGGAGATATGTAAGTGATAGGAAGAGAGGACAGATTAAGACTAAATTTTATTCATCTTCCGTCTTATTATTTACGCATATCATTTCATGTCATTCTTTTAATTCGTGTCGACCATTCTCGATATTTAATGGATGTGATGAAAGTTTAAATTTAATTTAAGCTTTCATTTGACTTGTTTTAGAAATTATTCTAGGATAAGAAGTGGTTTCAACCATGTATTTTATATCTGTTTATAAAGTTTCCAATGCAACTGCTGAACAAATGTCAGAAGGAAATGTTATTTTGTCCTTGGTTAACAATCAAAAAGCGAAGAAAAGGAAGATATATGGGCTCCTTTAGGGTAATACCAATCTTCATCATATTCTGAGCTTAATAGAATTGTTTCACATTCAAACCCCAGTTTTGTAATTCTTTCTTTCGCAATCGACAAGCATTAATTAGTATATTTTAGAAGAATACAATTATATATATATATATATATATATATATATATATATATATATATATATATATATATATATATATATATATATATAGTCTGCTTTTAAAGAAATCCCCAAATTTAGTAAGCATAAAACAAAATTGTACATACAAGAAAATAATATAAATTACACATTATATTCATTGGCATTGAAAATTTTTAGTATTAATCTGACGTACGTTCATTCTTTGACACCTTTCCAGCAAAACTCTGTATCATATCGAAACAACTATCTGTTAACAAAAACTAGTCCTCAATCAAATTAAAATTAACTAATATGTCGAGAATTACCTCTCGGTATTTCAATGCAACTTCGATTCCTCTAGCTCCATTTTTAAAATAAAATCATGACTTTTGTTTTATCAATATTTACAAAAATATTCCATCTTATACAGCATTCAATTAACTTATCTAATGATACTTGTCGACCGTTACCTGTTTCTGAAAATATTATTGTATCTCAGCAAACAATAAAATACACATGGACAAATCTATTAATAATAATATCCGCCTCCATATTTGATTGTAATGCGATTTCCATATTACTTATATAAGAAAACAACAGAAGTCCAGATAGGCACTCTCCTTGAAGAAGCCATAGTTCATGATTAAGTGCTTTATACACAAGACTATACTGAACTTTGACGACATGCATGTCAATACGTCTATTGCTGAATCAATGTTTCTAATTACACAAGGTAAGAACGTGTCTATGCGTTCATCATTGAATCAAATATTATAATCGCACACATGTCGTGTTTATTATTAGATTAGATGTCCTAATTACACTCGTGAAAAATTTGGTCCATGCCTTTACTATTGAATCGCTCTGCGAATGTAGGTATGTCAGAAAGCTTGCTAATAGCCTCTGGTGTGTCGTTGTTTTTTCCTCCCTGTTTCTTCCTCCATTATATAAAGCCTGTGATAAAGGAGGGAGATTTAACATTATACCCTTCTCCTTTCAAATCCGCGTCATATCTAGGGAATGATCTCCCTCGATGTAATTACCCAGTGTGGACGTATAGATGGAACGTTACAGATTGCTGACCAAAGTATTGAAAGAAATAAAACAATGAGCCTCACTTCAATGAATAAAATATAAAATTTTAATCAAATAACATATAATCATGAAACAAACAATTCCCTACAGCGATTTATTAAATTATGAACTCAATTGAAGCATAGCCAAATTCACTTCTATTCAACTAATGGTCAATGACAGAGTTTAATACAGCATATAAATTTCGTCATGTACTCGAGTGGTGTTTTTTAGTCCAATATTATGCCTTTCACAGCATCTCCTGACACTTGTCTTCACACGACTTGTCTTCCACGTCTAACTACGTGCTTTGTCGTCTTTAACCCTCACTGTCTTGACATCCCGATTATGCAGCTTCCCTCTTTGACTCATTGAGTTCCCTCCGTATTCCTCCTTCTCTCTTATCTCGTTTGAAGTACGAACTATGAAGGTTGAACTCGAACTATGTAAGCTGTCCCCTTAAATATAGAGTATGTCTCACCCTAGACAAATACCACTGCACACTCACGTGTAAATATAAACTATAATTTTCGTTCTTGTACTTAGGTCGATATACTTACACTAATCTCACGAGATCTTTTTCAATATCATTCAGATTTACTGCGGGTTCTTAATTACCATGTGACTCTACGGACAAATGTGGCCGTATATGCCAGCATGCATTACCACACAACTCATTTACCTTTGGCTATTCAATGCAGTTTATGCCCTAATATTTATGCGTAATATCAAGTAAATCTAATTATTATAAAGTAGCTTATGTGAACAAATAATATTGCAAACTAGCGTATATATATATATATATATATATATATATATATATATATATATATATATATATATATATATATATATATATATACATATATATATATATATATATATATATATATATATATATATATATATATATATATAATCGTCATTGCTCACAAGGGTAAATATAATCCTAAACAGAAAATTAATTCATATATCCTAAGAAATGTGACATATTCGTATACTAGTGTGAATTCATGAAATCCATACACAACATTACATATTGAATGTTTAATTTCAATCAACCCTCAATTCTCTCAATGAATTGATAATTAAAAAATCAAAGAAGTGACTGGTAGAACTAACATATTGCTAGTGCTACAAATTAATACACGAATTCATGCATGAATCATAATATATCATATCTGCAAACAAACCAATGAAACAGCATATTAGAAATGAAACTAAAATTACTTACCTTACTGCCGTTAATTTTCCAAACAAACAGTTATAGCCTTCTCTCTCTCTCTCTCTCTCTCTCTCTCTCTCTCTCTCTCTCTCTCTCTCTCTCTCTCTCTCTCTCTCTCTCTCTCTCTCTCTCTCTCTCTCAGACAACTATCTGGCTCCGTTGTGAGTTCACGAGGCCACTATAGTGCGTCTCGGAGTCCTTAATCTTCTCTCTAGATAAATCTGACTGACGGATTTTTTCACAGATAGTTCTTAAATCGTTTCAAAAGGTGTACGCCCTTAAGTTTTCCTAGATAATCAGAAATAACTGTTTCTAAACGTTTCCTTCCAGATCCAATGTCTAGTCCCTGTCGTCTGTTTCACTGGCCATAAAATATTTTACAATTAGCGTCCTTTGAAAACTCAATTATTTGATGTGTGCCCCTTGTACCACAGGAAATGACTGTGTCAGATTCAACTGGGGTTTAAAATAATTCCTTTATGTTAAGAGGAATTGAGGAAATAATATTGAACTTCCATCAGACCTTTCTGCTTCAATTATGTTAACTTGAAAGCACAATCTATTTAACAATGGGTTTCAACACGTTTCAAAATTTGACACATCAAAGCCTCTCTTGTGCTGAATAATGGCGTTAAACCTAACAACAACAACAACAAAAACAATTGTTGAATCAATTTTTTAATTAGGTATTATAAGAATATGTTCATGCATATATTATTTTAATAACATCCGTAATTAAAGTTTAAGTGAACGCAAGGATATGTTATTATGGTGTTGTGTTAGAATTTATCGGATATTCTAAGTACACAACGTATGAACATGCCATGCAATTTTCTCTCTTTTTGGTTAATTGCTATTTTTTTGTAATTTCTTTATGGACCGATATTTGTGCATCTACTAGATTTGCTTTGTTTTTCAAACAGTAAAATTTTACTCAACATTTGTGATCCATCGTGGCTAAAGTTCGATTCGTAGTGTCAGTAATTTCATATTTTGGACGGAAGTACAATGTGTCGTTCATACGTAGGTTTGGCTTAAATGTTTTGTTTTGATATATATATATATATATATATATATATATATATATATATATCTATATATATATATATATATAGATCTATATATATATATATATATATATATATATATATATATATATATATATATATATATATATATACATCATATCACAAGTATGGCTAATAATATCGCTACGATGTCTGCAGTGTGATTGTTTATAGAGATGTCTAGTACTGGGGGAATCAAACCGCAGACATGTGGCATGATGTTTGACCTAGTCACATTATCCTGACACAAGACCAACCAGTCCTAACACTAACCTCTTAATGCTGAGCGCCAAGCGAGGCAGCTGTCAGTACCTTTTTTAATGTCTCTTGGTATGATTCGGTCGGGGTTCAAACCCGAGACCCGCAGCATCCGAGGCGGACGCTCTAATCACTAAGTCACCGGATGATTGGCAATATTTCATGATATGATTTGACGTTGATAAATATAATGGATAACATACATAAACTGGTTTCTCTAATAGTCATATGTGATGGTGATTTGCGATAAATATATTTTGTGATAGCTACCGTAGAGTATTTCGTGTCTCGTTCTTTTATTTATTTGCATATACGGTATATAATGCCGCCTAACCAAGTAATTTACAATACTACTTAATTGCAGCAACAGACTATTGCGAAGTTGCATCATTGGTATAGAGTGGATCAGAAGAAAAAATCTCACGGAAAGAGTACACATTACATTATAACGGTTCCTTACAGTAGATTCAATGATCTCATTTAGCTCAAATTATGTTATTCTCCCACAGTCCAAATATTTCCACGTATTTTCTCCAATATGGTGTGTGTATGCATCTGAAGAAAAGTTGATTGTAATGAAATGTTATATCCTGCTCATTCATTTAGAAAAGAGATTATTCATATTTACTAGCTGTTTATTATTTTAATAATGAGGAATTAGTGGGAAATCATCACAAAGGATGAGATTATAAAAGCAATATTCTGTTGATCATAGGCGAATCACAACTTGATCTACAAAACGTACGAAAGGCAATGATTTAGTAAGACAATTTAAAACGAATTTTATATCACAGTTTAGCTCATTCTTTAAAGGTTTATATGAGAACGGCTATTGTGGGTACTAGTTGACAGTGCCGAAAAGCAAAGGACGCTGTGAAATGCATAAAATGAGGTCCTTGTCAAATGCACAAAGTGCAGACCCCGTGGAATGCATAAAGTGTTATATTTTTTTCTCTAGTGTAAACTTGCTCAACAGATGACCTACAGTAATGATAGATCTTATCATTTATGATTTTGAATTATATAATTCGGCTAAATTTATTGCATTTTGGAGTTATTAACTTTGACTAGACATTATCCAAAATAGATATCTGATAAGGTTTTAATGTCTAGACTTGCTAAATTAATTCTGATTTGTTACGTGAACCTGATATTGATAAAATTTGTGCGGCTGGAACAAATTGTATAACCTTGAACTCTTGTTATAATTTCAGGTCGTTAACATTCAGTGTTCCACATGTGCAAAACTCCTAAGCAGCAACACATGAGTAGCTATGTTAGATATACAACTTTTCAGACAAATACTTGCTGCAAAGCTGTTGCGACTCTGTTGTTCTCAGACCAATACTTGCTGCATAGCTATAACAACTCTATTGTTTTTCAAACAAATATTTGCTGCTTAGCTGTTACGACTCTATTGTTTTCAGATCAATACTTGCTGCAAAGCTGTTACGACTCTGTTGATCTCAGACCAATACTTGCTGCATAGCTGTTAGACTCTTTTTTTTAGACAAATATTTGCTGCATAGCTATTATGACTCTATTGTTCTCAGACAAATACTTGCTGCATAGCTGTTACGATTATATTGTTTTCAGACAAATACTTGCTGCATAGGTATACCAACTCTATTGTTTTCAAACAAATGTTTGCTGCATAGCTGTTACGACTCCATTGTTTTCAGACAAATACTTGCAGTATAGGATGACTCCAAAATTAATTATATATACCGTGTAAAAAAAGTTACAAAAATATAGATGTACATAACAATAACGTTTATATTAAACGTCATGAATCAAAGTTTTTCAAAACTTTAATTTTACGAAATGCTACTCTTTCTTTTACAAAAATTTGGACTTTAATACAAACATTTTAATCAGTTTGAAATTCAACAATCTACAATCTTAAAGATTTATTATTTAGAGATAGGCTGGTGTTGTATCACAAAACAAAACAAAACCGTTTCTAGCGTCTGGCAGCTTAATTCGAATTATTAAAATGTCTTAGGCTAAGACGAATAAAGGACCAAGTCAAACCATTCAAGTCTAAGATCAATAAAGGACCAGTCAAACAAGTCAAGCCTGAGATGAATAGAGGACCAATTCAAACCTTTCAAGCCTAAGATGAATAAAGGACCAAGTCAAACCATTCAAGCATATAAACATTCAGTCTAGTACATCTTGTACCCTAGCACAGAGTTTCGTTATTTGCATTGGAGAATTTCAAATACGACTATATATGACTTTATCCACTTACGTATATTTTGTACTGGGTACTGAAGAGAAAACGTTATGTACGTTAAAAATTAAACTCATGTATGATTGGAATAAAAAAAATCAAGGAAGGGTCTCTTTGTATGTTTGACTATTCGACTATGAGAAATTCAATTTCAGATAGGCACTCAATCAACAAAACACTGTTTCAAAACAAATGATTAAACTGTTGAATATTAAAATTGATTCCTCCTTTTTTCATTTGGATGACTGAGTACATAAAATGACTATTTAGCTTTCATATTCCGGGTTTAATGTTCATTAGTGTATAAGCTTCGAACGATATTGCATTGTTTTAAAATAAAGTAATCTTCAAAATATCGGATAATAATTATTATTACAGACGTCAATCATACTAAAAGTTTTGTTATAGAGTGAACAGCGTCCATTTTGGCCTGGATAACATCGATATTTTATTCAAGAACTCCAAAGATAACCTAATAATGGCGTCTTTTTAAAAAATAATTTCCAGCATATGGTAATGTCTGAGTAAAAGAAAAGACACATTTATAAAATATATTAACATTTTCTATTTGAGGAAAAGAAAAGAAACGTCTAGATACAATGTTTAATGCACAAATGAAGTGACAGTCTCTGCAAGATAAACTTTGCTAATTATCTGTCATGTTTGCTGTTTCATATCATGTCTTTAATCCCTATTCACTGCATTACAATTAAACTCTTCCAATCTAGTAACATTCTAAGATAAATGACACTGAAAACGTGTCGAACATTTGCCGTTGTAAAACCTTATCAAGGCTCAAGTGTTATTGTCGTAGAGCTAAATCTGTCATCTACCCCAAAAACAGAAATCAACATTATTTAACATCGCGAATAAACAAGAGCAATTACTTGTGTAATTTTTATGCCAAGAATAATCGAATATTTGCCTATGAAAGAAATAAAATAGGTGTTTTGAAAAGCCAAATTTGAAAAGGAATATAATCAGGTTCAGTATGAATGAATGGAAGAGGAATATAAACAGGTGGAATATGAGCGAATGGAAGAAGAATGTAAACAGGTGGAGTATGAGCGAATAGAAGAGGAATATAAACAGATGGAGCATGAGTGAATGGAAGTGGAATATAAACAGGTGGAGTATGAGCGAATGGAAGTGGAATATAAACAGGTGGAGTATGAGCGAATAGAAGAGGAATATAAACAGGTGGAGTATGAGCAAATAGAAGAGGAATATAAACAGGTGGAATATGAGCGAATAGAAGAGGAATATAAACAGATGGAGCATGAGTGAATAGAAGAGGAATATAAACAGGTGGAGTATGAGTGAATGGAAGTGGAATATAAACAGGTGGAGTATGAGCGAATAGAAGAGGAATATAAACAGGTGGAATATGAGCGAATAGAAGAGGAATATAAACAGATGGAGCATGGGTGAATGGAATAGGAATATAAACAGGTGGAGTAGGAGTGAATGGAAGTGGAATATAAACAGGTAGAGTATGAGCGAATAGAAGATGAATATAAACAGATGGAACATGAGTGAATAGAAGAGGAATATAAACAGGTCGAGGATGAGTAAATGGAAGATGAATATAAACCGGTGGAGCAAAACCAGGAGTAATTGGAGCAGGTGTGATTGAAAGATAAAGAAGGAATAGCTAGACTTACTATTATTATTATTATTATTATTATTATTATTATTATTATTATTATTATTATTATTATTATTATTATCCTTATCATTATCATTATTATTATTATTATTATTATTATTATTATTATTATTAATATTTTTAATATTATTATTATTATTATTATTATTATTATTATTATTATTATTATTATTATTATTATTATTATTATTATTATTATTATTATTATTATTATTATTATTTTTTAATAATAATAATAATAATAATATTATTATTATTATTATTATTATTATTATTATTATTATTATTATTATTATTATTATTATTATTATTAGCAGTAGTAGTAGTAGTAATAGCAGTAGTAGTAGTAGCAGTAGTAGCAGTAGTAATAGTTGTAGTATTATTATTAGTATTATTATTGTTGTTATTATTATTATTATTATTATTATTGTTATTATTATTATTATTAGTTTGCTGTACCAAATTCGCGTTAGACAAAACAAGAGTTATTACAGTCATACACATAAACGTAATAATGGTACGAAGCATCACACCTGTCTCTTTGGATAATATTTATTAACCTTTCAACTTCTGGTCATATTTCTTTTCCTTTAAAATTGATTTTTATAATAATTTATGTCATGCTTCAGATCTTATAAATGTCCAACTATCTGAACTCGCTTACATTCAGCTCGTTTTAATCTTTCCATCTCCACTCGTTAGCTGTATTGGTCTCTTTGTATGTATCACATATTTCAAGCTCTAATTAAATTAATTATTGAATGATTATGCAAATTCTAATTACATTTACATAACTTCTTAAAACTCTTTTTGCTTTTAAAACAATTTAATACAGGGTAATGATTTTTTTATAGTCCTCCCTTTTCGAACTACTTGACAAATGGTTAATTTGTATTAAGTTTGCGCACCTCAGTTTCCTATAGGAACTCTAATTGGCTTTTTGATGCCAACAGTTAATTTTTAAGTGCTTCAATTAGTTCCTTTAATCGTGCATTCCAAGAAATATGAGCATAGTATTCCCACCTTAATATATATATATATATATATATATATATATATATATATATATATATATATATATATATATATATATATATATATATATACATGCATGCATGCATGCATGCATGCATACATACATACATACATACATACATACATACATACATACATACATACATACATACATACATACATACATACATACATACATACATACATACATACATACATACATACATAC